GGGACGGGTTCCAGTTCGGGAATTTTGGGATGTTGTGGATCCGCCAGAGACCCGGGAAGGCGCTGGAATACGTCGCAGGGATCAGCAACACCAGTGGCAGCACCGACTACGCGCCGTCGGTGCAGGGCCGGTTCACCATCGCCAGGGACAACGGGCAGAGCTCGGTGACGCTGAGCATGAACAACCTCCAGGACGAGGATTCCGGGGTTTATTTCTGTGCCAAATGTGTTGATGGTGGATGTAGCGCTGCTGCTGGTGCTGTTGGTTATGGGGACAATGTCTGTGCTGGCCCTGACCCCCCATGCTGGATCCCCAAATGTCCCAGAATTCCCAAATCCCGCCCCAATCCCAGCCCTGGGCCCCAAATCTGGGCCCTTTCACCCCAAACTCGGCCCCTGCTGCCCCAACTCTCCCCTTTCTCCGGAGCTCGCAGCCTCTGACCCAAAGCTCCAAGGTTCCTCCCCAAAACTCAGCCTTTGGTGCCCCAGAGCTCCGCGGGGCTCACTCGTGGACGCCGCTGCCATGGCTGGGCTGCTGCAGCCACAAATTCTCAGCTTCTGGCCCCAAAGCTCAGCCCTGGGCTCCAGGCCCAGCCCGGTTCCCCAGAACTTTGTGCCCAGGGCCCGGATTTGGGGCCAGCGGCACCGATTTGGGGGCGCGGCTGCGACTCGGCACCGGCCGGGGAGATTTGGGGCAAATCTGGGCAGGTTTGGGGGTGAAGGGTCGGGACTTGAGGGGTGAGGTTGAGTTTTGGGTCAAAACCGAACCCGATCTGGGGCCAAGGGGGGAGATTTGGGGCAGAACTGGCTCAGAGCCAGGACAGACGGACGGGAACGGGGTCAATAAAACCAACAGGAGAAGGACCTGTGCTACCCAAAGAAATTTTGGCACAGAAATAAACCCCGGAATCCTCGTCCTGGAGGTTGTTCATGCTCAGCGTCACCGAGCTCTGCCCGTTGTCCCTGGCGATGGTGAACCGGCCCTTCACCGACGGCGCGTACCCGGTGCTGCCACCATCGGTGTTGATCGCTGCGACAGATTCCAGCGCCTTCCCAGGTTTTTGGCGATACCAGCCCATGGGGAATTTCCCGAAATCAAATCCAGTCCCGCGGCAGAGGAGGCGCAGGGACCCCCCGGGGGGCTGGAGGTCCCCCCCGGACTCCAGCAGGGTCACGGCCGCCCGGAGCCCTGCGGGAAAAAGGGGAGATGGGGATGAGGCAAAGCCGGATCCGGGCGTGTCCCGGGGGGTCCTGAGGCTCTTCCAGAATGTTCTGGATCCACCCTGAGGGTGCTGAGGTTCTTCCAGAAGGTTCTGGATCCACCCTGAGGGTGCTGAGGTTCTTCAGAAGGTTCTGGATCCACCCTGAGGGTGCTGAGGCTCTTCCGGAAGGTTCTGGATCCATCCTGAGGGTGCTGAGGTTCCAGGCTGGGAACAGGGGGAGTTGTGGACACCCAAAGCTCAACCATTGCCCCAAACCCGGACTTTGGCCCCAAATTGTGACCCCGGGCCCTCCCCATCCCCCTCCTGTGCTGGGGGCGCTGCCAGGGGGGTCCAGAACCTTCCGGA